CGGGCTGATGGAGACATAAGAACGGATCTTTGGGAGATGAACTGACACCATGTACCCCGTGGTCTCAAATCTTAACCCATGCTCTTCATATGGTGGTTGTATCGTCACATTGTTCAGAGAGGCCTAAGGCACATCAGATCTTTGCTAAAACATCTTGAAATACTTTCTGCAGAAGAATGTAAGCTTAAATAGACACATGAGGCATTTAACGCAAATAAGAGTTGTGTTATATTCTACCTGTACTGTAAACAAATGTGGGTCGATACTGAGTATGACGATATTGTTTTGATATCTTAGGATGATGTCTTTAGCACAGGAGCCATTGTTGCCTGGCACGCAATAGGAGTTGTCCACAGCAACAGTAAGATTATGGCGTGGTGAACGCTCCTCCGCCAAGATGTAGGTGCACGGATCCAGGAAATCAAAATAGACTCCTTGAAAAGAAATATAGTGAGGCTCCCCGTACAGCTCACACTGGCCTGGAAATAGAACAGGAAAAGAATAACACGTGATTTGAAAGGTAGGGGCTGAAAATATATCTGTAAAATTATATTTTAGATAAGCAGGATCACATGTTTGTCATGATTTTCTATCAAGACAAAGGAAGAACATTTAGAAAATGACACAGGGCATATTTTTTGCAGACTGATGAGCCAGTCATGCATTAAGCACTGAGTCATTGCCCAACTGGGAGCACTGTTCTCTAGTTAACTGATTACACATGCTTTTGCAGGCCTTATTAATATGTTGAGTGCTTATTTTTCTATTAGTCAATTTTCAGTTCATTCCTCTTATATATATATATATGTACACCGTGTGCAGAGAAATGGCTGGTTTGTTAGAGGTTATCTCCTGTTACAAGATTTTTAAGTTTTTCTCCCTCACTGTTGCCAAGTGGTGCTTTTAGGAAACACCGGGCTTTCTTTCTGTAGTATTCCAAGTCTTTCAAGTACCTGAAAATAAGTACTTTTTGTGAACTGGTACTATATCAATGGAATCTCCAAAAGTTGATTCTGTTCATCTGGACGTAGCGT